ATCATAATGAATTATAAATGTAATGAAATTTTTTAACAATTCCTTTTATAAAACTAAAAAAAAGATTTCATTATAATCATTGTCTTCTTATGAGAAAATAATTTTTGGTACAAGTCTGGGTATATTATCCAATATTATCCTTTTAAGTCATATTTAGTTTGAAAGGTCCATTTGTAATCAATTCTTTTATAATTATTAGTCAATTCAATGAGTTCTCAAACACTATTTATGTCTATCAATTTCAACTTTTTTTTCATTGCATCATATCACTATTTATAATTGTTGTTTTTCATGCCTCGTAAAAATGCTAAGGGGTCCCTTTTAATTTTTATATGATAATTTAATTTTTTTAGAAATACCACATAATAAAAAATGATAGATCGCCTTTTCTTTTGATATATTTTTAAAACTATAGGTTGTGATTGTTCTATAAGATTATTAACAATGATATCAACATTATATGGAAATACACTAATATTATTTTCTTATTTATCTTTATCAAATCATTTAATTATTTGAGGAACAATAACTTCTTGAATAGAAAATGATAAATGAGCATTAACCTGTATCTTCTCAATATCAAGATCAAATTTTGAAAATTTTCACTTCCACTGATTTATTATTTTTTAGGAATCTTACATTATAAAATTTAACTATTCTCATACTATAATTAGAGTAATAAGATTTATATCCATTGGATTCTTCTAGATAACCAATGAAATATATAGAAATAGTTTTTGTATCCAATTTCTTTTCATATGAATTGAAGACTCTTATTTATGTAGAACAATCCTAAATATGCAAGTATCTCAAGTTAGGTTTCTTATCAATCTATAACTCAAATAGAGTTAATGCAATTAAGTTACTATGAAGCTTATTATATATATATATATATATATATATATATCATGATTCTAATTATATTCATAGGAGTATGATTTTATCTTCCAGTAATCTCGTTTTACTATGGCTCACCTAGAAAGATATCTTGAGCACAAATATCTTATTTTTTAGGAAACTAATAAAAGGGTCAAGATTTTAACCCGGCTCATCATATTTATCATAAACTAAGTTACTATGAACCTTATTATTATTATTATTATTATTATTATATATATATATATATATATATATATATATATATATATCATGATTCTAATTATATTCATAGGAGTATGATTTTATCTTTTAGTAATCTTGTTTTACTATGGCACACCTAGAAAGATATCTTGAGCACAAATATCTTATTTTTTAGGAAACTATTAAAAGGGTCCAGATTTAAACCTGACTCATCATATCTATCATAAAATTTATCATCTATATTGGATTTGATAATTTTAACAGTTCTATCTAATTATCTCTCGACTTAATTTATGTACATCTAAATGTATCAATAGCATTAGAGCATATATGAATTAAATATACATAGTCATATCTTAATAGATTATCTATAAAGATGATAAAACATCTCTCTCCACTAAAATAGAGCATATGGAATAACCTATAGATGTAATTATATATAATCTTAAGGAGTTTATCAAACTACATTTCATTCTAATATTTGATTCTATGATTATTGCAAACTCAATATTCACATTAATTTAAAAATATTTTTATTGAATCATAAATATATTGAGTTTACAACCGTTAAAAGGAAGATAATTTTAGATTGAAACTAAATTTCTAAAATTATAGAAATATAGCATGTATCCTCAAGATTTAATCAAATGAATTATTTTTAAACAAAAGCGATAAATACCTACTACCATCACTTTCACTTTAAAATGATTCCATATAACGATAAAATTTATTATATTTTGATTTTCATGTTAAAATAAATATCTATACATGATTGGTAATATAAGTTGAAGCGTTAAAATTAATATACCAAGTATTCGAAAGGAATTTCTATAATATTTGATTCGAAATATACAATGGTCATACTTATACCTTTTTCATTTGAATCAAACCTTATAGTCATTTTTCACTTGACCTTTTTTGCCATAAAAATAGTACTTTATTATGAATAATTTTTTTTATGAATTTATTTAATATTTATAAACTCAAGTGATTTGTGCTTCACCTTTTTTTTTTATTGTTACACACTTGTTGAGTAGTATCCAAAATATTATGAGTCTTTCCTATTTTAATCTTAATTCTTCCTAAACACACTTCTTGAATAGTTAACTCATTTAAGTTTCACATATTCTTTACTTGTGTTGTTGTGAAATTTAAATGAGTCAGGCTAAGAAGGAAGATAATTAAGAATAAATTATATGTGAACTCATCATCTCCAATATTTTGAACTTTGTAGCTTTGTCAACTCATAATGAGGATATATTATAGAATTCCTCAAATATTGTATTATTAAGATGTAGTCAATTTTTTCATTAAAGTGTTAGTTAATGACTTATTAATAAATTTAAATCAATCTTTAAATATTTTAGTATACTAGTTATATATTATAATGAAGCTTAAATATTATTAATAATTATTATAAAATTAAATCGTTTAGATTTTTTAAATTATTTATTTTAATTATTTATTCTATAGATTTTTCAATAGTTAAGTCTGTGATCATTTCAACCAATTCGATCAAAGGTCTAACATACTTGGTGTAAGTTATACACGCTCAAGTCATTCAAAAATTATACACGCTCAGATGCATGAGAATGTAATAAGGAAAGTACTATAATAATAAATAAAAATAATAATACTTTGAGTTTTTAATAAATATTGAACTATTGATATAATATCTATTTTATTTTTGGGTTAAATATTGACATATCCAATGTTCGTACAAAATTTTATAATTATGAAGGACTAATACTATGTTTATGGAATAATGCTACTACCTTTAGATATACAACACTAAATTATAAGGATATTTAAGATAGTATCATCCTATCCTATCACATAATTATTTGAGATGGATTCTCCTTTAGAATTATCTAAATATATTGATTATGTGTGTCACTATGAATATTATTTTTAATATCATTTAAGATTAATTCTTTAATATAATTATATAAATTTATTAATCTAGACCATTTTGGTAGCTATAAGACCAATACAAGAATATAAATTATTTTCTAAATATCTTATAAATGATTAAATATTTATTATAATTTACACCCCATAAACTTATAGCCCTAGAATATTTTGGTAGTTATAAGTCAAATGAAACTTAGGGATATAGGTTACAAATAAGATTGACTATTTTTTTAAAATCTAATTATGCAGAAACTATTCAATAAAAAATAATCATAATAATTATTGAACATAAAATTTAATTAGTATAATAAAAATTCATATAATAATAGTAATTATGATAAAATAAAAATCATGACTTTACATGAAAATAAATATTATTTCATAACTTTTAAACATATGCTTGTGAATAACTACATAAATATCTAAAAATAATAATTAAAATTTAAGTATCATAAATAATACAAATTTCACTAATATGTCATATGAGAAATTATTAAAAAATATATAATTTATAATATTTTATTTCATAAAAGTCCTTAAATTGACTAAATCATCTCTATTTAATTAGGCAAGTTTAGAATTGGGCCACTCAAATTGGCTCCATCAACTCATCAATGAGGATGCCCCTTTTTGTTGGATTTCCTTTCACGACATTGAGTGACCACCGTAAATCATAGTGTCATTGCAAGTGATAGTGATACCACCCAAAGCAATCGTTGCCCACAACAATAATTACTGTTGCGTGTGTAGTCACGACCCATGATAAGGCTAGTCACGACCCATGAAGGTCGTCGCCCTATAACTCTACCTACCATAGTCATTATGGCTCCTCCATCCATTGCCCACAACAATAGTTGTACACGATAGGCAAGGCTCACAACTATGGTGAACCGTCATCCTTTGCTACACTATCGTAGATAATAAGTTTTTGCCCTTGGCAGAGCTATGACCATAGTAGATTGTCACCCTCTACAATGTTGCTATTGATAGTAAGCTACCACAACAACTCGCTGATCGAAGCCGGAGAGCATAATTTCATCCATGGTTCTAATTGTGTGACTGAGAAAACCATTATCAATCACACGTAAGCGAATAGGGCGGACTCATATAGATCGAAACATCTTTTTATAGGCAAAAGTTGGTAACATAAATAGATCTAATACTTTTATGATCTAAGATATATTTGATTTTAAAACACACTTATGGTACCAATTGTAAATATAAAACTATCATTATTCTATAAAAAAAAATAATATCAGAATTAAAATCAAATAACAATAGATCAAGATCAGACTCACTTAACTTTAGATGTCATGATAAATAAAATATCTCTATTGGATATGATAACTTAATATAATTCATAGAAAACAACAACGGGATGTATAAAAGCTATACTCACATTCTTTTTTATTCATCTTTCATGTGACTACAATTAGCAATGAAAGAGATTATTGAGAAAAGCGAATAAATTTATAATATCTATTTATATATAATCCATAAGAGGTTTTATTTATATATAATTAGAATTCAAAATCTTAATATATTTTATCTAATTAAATATGATCACAAAATCTAACAAGCATAGTTAGAACGACGGAATGATACAAGGATTGTGGAGATAAGGATTTGATAGGTAATTGATAGATTATAAACAGTAAAATTATATTTTACTATTCTTATGGTGGTTGCCAACTCAATAGGAAAACCCATGGCGAGTTTGCATAAATATATCATTGAGGAAAATTGATCCTAAATTAATAAAAAAATATATTTCTATTTCTTTCTTTTAATATGCCCTAATCATATTATATGCATAATACTAAAACTATATCAAATCCCTATTTTGGCAGTGTAAGGCTGCAATTTATAGCATCTAATTCAAACTTGCCAAATTTCTTGAAGGGTAGGCGGGAAGGCGGATGAAGCGTATTTAAGCGGGATTTCGATCCCGAGACCTTTAATTGATCTTGAAGTTCATCTTTAACTGACGTAGAATCCGTGCGAAGGTTTGGGGCATATACGGATCTCCCAGTCGTTCCGGATACGGTGGAATCGGGCTTCTCGGACCGCGCTGCATCCGTAAAACCCTCTCCTGGACCCAATCTCGTCCCCGGATTTCGCTGCCTGTGCTTCGATCTGCGAGGTACCCCTTTCTTCCTCTCTCATTTTGATTGTTTTTTCTTTTGTTACTCGATCTGTGTGATTCTTGTTTCGGTTTCTCTTCTTGTTCTTGTTACATCGTTCATTCAAGAAGCTTCACTAGTAGGGTTTGGAGACCAGAAGTGGTCGAGGCAATGGTAGTTTGGTCGAGATCATGGTAGTTTTGCCTACTGTCTCCCATCTAGTAGTGGTAAAGGTGGAGCTATTTGGTTGATCGATCCTTTTCTTTCGATGGGGTGCTGGATAGGTCATTGGGTCATTTCTTTTTTGCTTGCCTATTTGTTTGTTCTTATTTCTTGTGTTCATAAGATGTTTTTGTCCGCGGATTGTAATTGAAACAACAAAGTAAGCAGTGGTTAGGTGTATTACGTTCGGTTCACCGTTTCATAAATCTAGAGTTGATGAGAAACTGTCTTGATCTAACGTGACAGCTTTGATTATCTTGAAGAGTTTAGTTATATAAGTTAATTATTAGTATCTGTGAACTTATTTAATTTAATGTCCTCCTTTTTAGAAGAATGAAAATTGAAGTCCAAAGTTTACCATATGTAGTTTGATATAATTGGCTGGCAATTGGTGTTGAATCCAAAATATTTGATAGCTTAATGGGCAATTCCCAAGTCAGATAGACCTAATTTAAGTTTATCTTCAAAGTATTCTTAATATTGACCTCAGATTTGTTTCAATGTTATATGGGGTGTGATTTTCACCCATCTACTTGTGATGCCCGATGTTGTATATATGTAGAGCTTATTACTCTTATAACTTGTTAGTGTGATATATAGGGTTAAACATTAGTTTCACATGAATTACTTCCACGTGAACCCTCTGATTCAAAATTTGATGCTTGTTATGCCTAATGCAGATAATCTTTCCCTTAATTTTCTGTTGACATCTCTATGCCATATCACACTTATGTTGTACTTGCCACTTCAGTAGGTCATCTATAAATTTTAAACATGTCTTCAATATCAATTTTTTTTTGTATATTGTATTATTGAGTTACAAATATATGATTGGAAGTTTAATGCAATAGCATATGGCTTGTCTGTGCAATATTTATTGAGATATGCAAAGGAGAAAAATTGACTCAATGCATGCCCACAAATGCTTTTCTATTTATCTCATGGTATATTTACCCTCCGAAGCCTCTGTTATAATTTGAGTTATGGAAGGTTATTGCTTTCTTTCAAGCTATTCTAATTATGAATCTCGTTTTTGTAGGCTTACTGAACACTGATTCCAGATTTAGCTTAATTCCCATGACCTTTGGCTTGTTTTCTCATTGGTGACTTGTGCTATATTCCAGATGAGTTCAACAATACCGACATCTCCAGACATTCATCCATCGATGATGATTTCCTCATTGGAGCATCCGCATTCACAGCAATCAACAGCTTCCTCTGGTCAATCAGAACCAGAAATTGCTGATGATAGTGAAATTAAGCTGTTGTCAGTGTCTTGGAATCAAAACTATGGACGCTTTGCTTTTGGAACAAGCAATGGCTTTCGAATCTATAATTGTGATTCTCTTACAGAAGCCTTTAGGAGAGATTTTAAAGGTGGGGGCTTCAGAATAGTTGAAATGCTATTTCGTTGTAATTTCCTGGCTCTTGTTGGTGAAGACACCAACACTCAGTTCCCACCTAATAAAGTAATGATCTGGGATGACCATCAGAGACGTTGCACTTATGAACTCACATTTAGATCTCATGTCAGAGGTGTGAAATTAAGCCGAGATCTCATTGTTGTAGTTCTTGAGCACAAGATTTATGTGTACAACTTTGCAGACCTGAAGCTTGTTCATCAATTAGAGACGCTATCTAACCCCAAAGGGCTTTGCTGCCTCTCACATCATTCTAATACTTTAGTGTTGACATGCCCTGGTATACGCCGGGGAGAGGTTCGGGTCGAACATCTTTTTCTGAAGATGAAAAAGATCATTAGTGCTCATGATTCTCAGATAGCTTGCATGACCTTGACCTTGAATGGGCTGCTTCTTGCAACTGCAAGCACAAAGGGTACATTGATTAGAATATTCAATACAAATGATGGTACTCGGTTACAAGAGGTAGGACTTTAAGATTTGCCATGTGCCACTGACTTGATTTGAAAATCTAGGACAAATTTCTTTATTTTATTCAGTATTTTATTTTTATATAAGAACAGGTTGCCTTTTTCTGAACATATATTTATGAGTGGTGCATCCATCTTTGCTCATAATGGATCATTTGATGATAATTCAGATTATGTACATGAGTATCATGGCCAACCTGCTTATATTAAACATTCTTTTTGGTTTTTCTATGATTTTATATGAATTTGATAGAATACATCTTTTTCTAGGTCTTGTTGGTAAATTTAATCACTTCTTCTGTTAGTTATGCATTGCAATGTAAATTTACTAGGCATAAATAGATTTGCTTTTGCTGTATATATACAAGCTTTATACAGATGTTCAGAATTGCTGTTCACTGTTTTAAACAATGTCTCATATTTGGACCTTTTTCACACCCTTTTTTCTTTGTTTTACTCAAACTTTCCCTGTTTAGATGTGGGATGTAACAGGTTATGAGATCATAAGTTTTTTTAAGTAAATCTATTTTTTCTGACTTCCAAAAGGGTGTAAGTGGAATCATACCAATCCAGGAGTCCCTTTTGACTCACTCTATGACCCTGTAATTCATTGAATTGGAAAGTTCCTAATAAATGCTATAGCTTGAGCAGAGCCACTTCTCCTGTATGGTGGTGCTTGAGCTTTAGGTATTTCTTTTGCACAATTGCGTGCACTATGCTACCTACACCTTCCTTTGGGCAAGCAAGGTTCACTATCGAATTGATTATTTGGGAGTCTTTCTCTCCGTAGTAGGTGTCCACAAAAACCAATGTATCACTATTATTGCCATATTCTTGGTGCTTGAGCGCCCTCTTGCACATTGGAAAATTCTAAAACTGTCGCTGCTTTCTTGAATGCTCTCTGCAAGAATTTTGCCTTTCTTCTCATAATGCACTTAAATGTATTCCATCTTTCATAGGTTTAGATGTGATTTTAGTTGTACTTTGGTTTACATTTTGCCTTTCTCCTGTTCTGTCCCAGTCTGTCCTATTAGACTTTCACCCTTTAACAACCATTAAATCTCTCTCCCTCTTTTTCCCTTTTCTCTCTTTCTCTTTCCATGGAATCATAAACATAGACTTACTGGCATTTCTTCTTCCGCATACAAGAAATTTGCTCCAAAAGCTGTCATTTTAATGCATGGTTAGCATGGTGGTTAACTTGGAAAGTAGACCAGCAGCTAGCTTAACGCCACACTCACTCACCATTTTGCACAACTGCTGAACATCAATCTTGGCTATACATAAGGTCATTAGTCTTTAAACTCATGGCTTCCAGACAGCAAAAAAGTTGTATTGCCAGCTTGGTGGTGAGATGACTTCATTTAACAATTAAGCTGGGATTTTCTACTGCACTCTTCTGCACGATTTTATATATATATATATATATATATATATATAT